TTACATTGTAAACGTTATGTGCGTGAAAACACTGATTACTGTTACACCAGAGACATTCTCTATGTGAATAACACTGGAGATTACATTGTAAACGTTATGTGCGTGAAAACAATGATTACTGTTACACCAGAGACATTCTCTATGTGAATAACACTGGAGATTACATTGTAAACGTTATGTGCGTGAAAACACGGATTACTGTTACACCAGAGACATTCTCTATGTGAATAACACTGGAGATTACATTGTAAACGTTATGTGCGTGAAAACACTGATTACCGTTACATCAGAGACATTCTCTATGTGAATAACATTGGAGATTACATTGTAAACGTTATGTGCGTGAAAAGAATGATTACTGTTACACCAGAGACATTCCCTATGTGAATAACATTGGAGATTACATTGTAAACGTTATGTGCGTGAGAACAATGATTACTGTTACACCAGAGACATTCCCTATGTGAATAACATTGGAGATTACATTGTAAACGTTATGTGCGTGAAAGCAATGATTACTGTTACACCAGAGACATTCTCTATGTGAATAACACTGGAGATTACATTGTAAACGTTATGTGCGTGAAAACACTGATTACTGTTACATCAGAGACATTCTCTATGTGAATAACACTGGAGATTACATTGTAAACGTTATGTGCGTGAAAACACTGATTACTGTTACACCAGAGACATTCTCTATGTGAATAACACTGGAGATTACATTGTAAACGTTATGTGCGTGAAAACAATGATTACTGTTACACCAGAGACATTCTCTATGTGAATAACACTGGAGATTACATTGAATAAACGTTATTGTAAACGTTATGTGCGTGAAAACACTGATTACTGTTACACCAGAGACATTCTCTATGTGAATAACACTGGAGATTACATTGTAAACGTTATGTGCGTGAAAACACTGATTACTGTTACATCAGAGACATTCTCTATGTGAATAACACTGGAGATAACATTGTAAACGTTATGTGAGTGAAGACAATGATTACCGTTACACCAGAGACATTCTCTATGTGAATAACACTGGAGATTACATTGTAAACGTTATGTGCGTGAAAACACTGATTACCGTTACATCAGAGACATTCTCTATGTGAATAACACTGGAGATTACATTGTAAACGTTATGTGCGTGAAAACACGGATTACTGTTACACCAGAGACATTCTCTATGTGAATAACACTGGAGATTACATTGTAAACGTTATGTGCGTGAAAACACTGATTACTGTTACACCAGAGACATTCTCTATGTGAATAACACTGGATATTACATTGTAAACGTTATGTGCGTGAAAACACGGATTACCGTTACACCAGAGACATTCTCTATGTGAATAACATTGGAGATTTCATTGTAAACGCTATGTGCGTGAAAACAATGATTACTGTTACACCAGAGACATTCTCTATGTGAATAACACTGGAGATTACATTGTAAACGTTATGTGCGTGAAAACACTGATTACCGTTACATCAGAGACATTCTCTATGTGAATAACACTGGAGATTACATTGTAAACGCTATGTGCGTGAAAACAATGATTACTGTTACATCAGAGACATTCTCTATGTGAATAACACTGGAGATTACATTGTAAACGTTATGTGCGTGAAAACACTGATTACTGTTACATCAGAGACATTCTCTATGTGAATAACACTGGAGATTACATTGTAAACGTTATGTGCGTGAAAACACTGATTACTGTTACACCAGAGACATTCTCTATGTGAATAACACTGGAGATTACATTGTAAACGTTATGTGCGTGAAAACACTGATTACTGTTACACCAGAGACATTCTCTATGTGAATAACACTGGAGATTACATTGTAAACGTTATGTGCGTGAAAACACTGATTACCGTTACACCAGAGACATTCTCTATGTGAATAACACTGGAGATTACATTGTAAACGTTATGTGCGTGAAAACACTGATTACTGTTACATCAGAGACATTCTCTATGTGAATAACACTGGAGATTACATTGTAAACGTTATGTGCGTGAAAACACTGATTACTGTTACACCAGAGACATTCTCTATGTGAATAACACTGGAGATTACATTGTAAACGTTATGTGCGTGAAAACACTGATTACTGTTACACCAGAGACATTCTCTATGTGAATAACACTGGAGATTACATTGTAAACGTTATGTGCGTGAAAACACGGATTACTGTTACACCAGAGACATTCTCTATGTGAATAACACTGGAGATTACATTGTAAACGTTATGTGCGTGAAAACACTGATTACTGTTACACCAGAGACATTCTCTATGTGAATAACACTGGATATTACATTGTAAACGTTATGTGCGTGAAAACACGGATTACCGTTACACCAGAGACATTCTCTATGTGAATAACATTGGAGATTTCATTGTAAACGCTATGTGCGTGAAAACAATGATTACTGTTACACCAGAGACATTCTCTATGTGAATAACACTGGAGATTACATTGTAAACGTTATGTGCGTGAAAACACTGATTACCGTTACATCAGAGACATTCTCTATGTGAATAACACTGGAGATTACATTGTAAACGCTATGTGCGTGAAAACAATGATTACGGTTACATCAGAGACATTCACTATGTGAATAACACTGGAGATTACATTGTAAACGTTGTGTGCGTGAAAACACTGATTACTGTTACATCAGATACACTCTCTATGTGAATAACACTGGAGATTACATTGTAAACGTTATGTGCGTGAAAACACTGATTACCGTTACATCAGAGACATTCTCTATGGGAATAACACTGGAGATTACATTGTAAATGTAATTTGCGTGAAAACAATGATTACCGTTACATCAGAGACATTCTCTATGTGAATAACACTGGAGATTACATTGTAATTGTTTTATGCGTGAAAACACTGATTACTGTTACATCAGAGACATTCTCTATGTGAATAACACTGGAGATAACATTGTAAATGTAATTTGCATGAAAACACTGATTACCGTTACATCAGAGACATTCTCTATGTGAATAACACTGGAAATTACATTGTAATTGTTTTATGCGTGAAAACACTGATTACTGTTACATCAGAGACATTCTCTATGTGAATAACACTGGAGATTACATTGTAAACGTTATGTGCGTGAAAACACTGATTACTGTTACACCAGAGACATTCTCTATGTGAATAACACTGGAGATTACATTGTAAACGTTATGTGCGTGAAAACACGGATTACCGTTACACCAGAGACATTCACTATGTGAATAACACTGGAGATTACACTGTAAACGTTATGTGCGTGAAAACACTGATTACCGTTACATCAGAGACATTTTCTATGTGAATAACACTGGAGATTACATTGTAAACGTTATGTGCGTGAAAACACTGATTACTGTTACACCAGAGACATTCTCTATGTGAATAACACTGGAAATTACATTGTAAACGTTATGTGCGTGAAAACACTGATTACTGTTACACCAGAGACATTCCCTTTGTGAATAACACTGGAGATTACATTGTAAACGTTATGTGCGTGAAAACACTGATTACTGTTACACCAGAGACATTCTCTATGTGAATAACACTGGAGATAACATTGTAAACGTTATGTGCGTGAAAACACTGATTACCGTTACACCAGAGACATTCTCTATGTGAATAACATTGGAGCTTTCATTGTAAACGCTATGTGCGTGAAAACACTGATTACTGTTACACCAGAGACATTCTCTATGTGAATAACACTGGAGATTACATTGTAAACGTTATGTGCGTGAAAACACGGATTACCGTTACATCAGAGACATTTTCTATGTGAATAACACTGGAGATTACATTGTAAACGCTATGTGCGTGAAAACAATGATTACGGTTACATCAGAGACATTCTCTATGTGAATAACACTGGAGATTACATTGTAAACGTTGTGTGCGTGAAAACAATGATTACTGTTACATCAGAGACACTCTCTATGTGAATAACACTGGAGATTACATTGTAACAGTTTTGTGCGTGAGAACAATGATTACCGTTACATCAGAGACATTCTCTATGGGAATAACACAGGAAATTACAGAGTAATTGTTTTATGCGTGAAAACACTGATTACTGTTACATCAGAGACATTCTCTATGTGAATAACACTGGAGATAACATTGTAAACGTTATGTGCGTGAAAACACTGATTACTGTTACACCAGAGACATTCTCTATGTGAATAACACTGGAGATTACATTGTAAACGTTATGTGCGTGAAAACACTGATTACCGTTACATCAGAGACATTCTCTATGTGAATAACACTGGAGATTACATTGTAAACGTTTTGTGTGTGGAAACACTGATTATTTATGTTTGATTTGTGTTCAAGAAGGTGATGAGTCAATTATGATACATAGAAAACTTCTTGTTTATTGCATAGAGCGACGTTTTGATGTATATTCTTACACCGTTATCAAGCTAAGGGTGACTAAAACCAAGTGATGAGAAGTATATATACATAGTATGTTATGACAAACAGCAGATATCAACAACTGTATATTATTGAAAACAAGTGGTACATAACTGGACGAGGCCAGGTTGGGTGTAACAAACAGGACGGACCATGAAGCCTATAATCAGGAGGGATTAAATAATATACACAATGTGATAGGGTGCTAATTGGTAGGCCGATGGTTCCCTTGGTTACTGTTGATTAAAATTCGACGAAGGTTTCGATGACTTCCATAGGTTTTCCTTTTCGTGAAGCCCTGATTCTTGGTGGTGAATGTGGTGACTCTATTTAGGCACAACTTCCGTACCGTAGATAACCGTATGAAAGAATATAAAACCTCAGCACCCAAGGCAGACAGCAAAACCGCCCTCTCATATCACCACAGATTTTTGTCTGCAGTGTATATAACTCCCTTTTGATTGCATGTTTTATATATAGTAACATTAAGTTTTTCGGCCATCCCCAGTATCGAACATAATAAGAAGTACTGGATTGTGAACGACGCGAGGTACAGCGGTTTACATTATGTTGATCAGGCTGCGCTCATATGTACTCGTCATACGCGGAAATTATAACTTCAGTGACTCAGTGTATTTGGGTGAAATTCCTGTGTATGCGATAGTTGTAACTATCATATCACTAAAAATCACGACACAGAGGCGACACACCACTGCGAATCAAGTCAACCCACGGACAGGGAACTGTTTGTTTCGCGATCCCTTCTTTCCACAATCTCATGTCAGGATCTGGCTTTTGTCTTGCGGAAACATATTCTGAAGACAATATGGCCACGCGAGATGTTCCAGATCATGGGGGATACGCCGCCAGACCCCAAGACCACACCTTGGCTATGCCCATCCGTAGTGGTGGGGGGAACATGATGTTCGGCCCGCGGGCCCGACTGTATACCCACCAGTCTGTTGCCAACAGTGAGTACTCGGACTACTACGGATATTACGAGATGTACGCCCCAGTTACTGCCGCGGACATAAAGGAAGTGAAGACACTAAGTAGGAGTTTGTTCAAGCTGAAGATTGCCTACGTTGTCCTGACTCTGTTTATTGTGCTTAGTATTGTAGCGTTCATCCTCATGAATCCATCTGTGTCGCCATTCCTGCACCGCGAGGAACCCATCCGCTCAGTGCGTCTGGCGTGTAATATCCTGGAGAGTATCTGTGGAGCGACAACTTCGGCCATTAAAGACACCCGGCTTCCCACAGATCTAAACATGTGCCACCTGAAAAATGTGGAACAAATTATCAAGCTTATACCCAAAGTGAGTATCACGATGTAGTGCTTAATTCAAATATAATTGGATGCGAACTTCGGGCCTTCTAATTCGAGGTCGGACGTCCAACAACCAAAGGGGCAATCTTATAAGGTATCTGTGGATGACTTACAAAAACGTGCAGGTTCTTAAGTCCATTTGTGTATATCTGTTGACATTGTATTGACCCAGTTTGAAGCATACCCCTGAGTCAGTCTAATTCTTCCGTCGTCAAACGACGTATTTGACTCTGAGATGGCATAAGTGCAATCAGTTGTTAGAATCATTTGTGGTATTTGCTGTTAGGCTTTCTTATAATGATGTTCAGCTATTCTGTCAGGATACATCCAAACATAGGTTTCCAAGCATCGTCCCCATGACGCCTTAGTCTTTATCACCCACGTGGTCAACGTATGGGTAGTTGCATATTAATATCGTACGTCACACGAGTGTCGTATCGCGTTGACCTGTGTCGTACCGACTTGACCTGAAATTCTAACGATTTGATTGGATAACCGATGACCTCTCAATTAGGTCACATTCTGACGTAACTATTTTTTCATTCATAACAAACACGTGAATTCATTCATTCTACAACTTAAATGCATTGTGGAAATGTAAACATTGCGAACGTTGCCGTGTCGCTGTTTAATTGTGAGTCGAACTGAGACATTATATCTGTCGAAAAACATAAACGCAATGTTTCCACCAGTGATGTTAGCCGAATGAAGCTGCTGGAAACCAAGAAACGAGGTGCAACGGAGTAGTTTACTGTAGGAGGCTGTACGAGGCGATGACAACTGACATGCATCGTGACGTCGGTTACCATGGCAGTGACGTCATTAGTGTGACGTCATGCAAATATTGTACTACAGTACAAAACTCTTCCGCAACCTCTTTATGAAACCGGTTTCGGTTTGAAACCAAAAACATAACAAAAATACGCTATTTTGTCAATTTAAATGCATGTAAGACGTGGGTAATAAATAAAATACCACACTCGGTCTCATTACAAACGAATTATACGAAACTCGTGACCTTCCTATGTTATCTGACCTCGCTTTCGCTCGGTCAGATACCATAGGAAGGACACTCGTTTCGTATAATTCGTATGTAATGAGACCTCGTGTAGTATTCTCTATGTACGTCATCTTGATATTGAGGACAAGAGTAGGGGCTACTCAGTTAATCCGCCCAATTTTAAACGTTAAATTGCTATGTTTATATGTTGGATCATACTTCCATCATCAAAACGTTATCCTTGACCAACTTTATCGATACATCAGTCACCTGTTTGTTTACCCCGAATCCCACTATTTACATCGTCGTCAGATTGCTGGGACATTACATAGTGCGACGTTAAAAACAAGCATCGTTACCCCTGTGTCTGCCTATTTCACCCTAAACTCACCTCTCACTTAACAGTACCTTGCTCCTCCCCAGCCTCGCCTCTCACACTTCTCTCTAACACTTTCTTCTGAGAACATCCTAATCTTGACAAATTTTTACTTTGTTTCAGTGTAAGGGGAACACAAAGAGCTGAACTAAATATTGTAAGTATCACATATAACCGATAGATGTATCGTCGTACCGCAAGTAACATACTATAGTTCTTGTTATCCTCGGAATGTGAGCATTGCAACCACAATAGCCATCTCATGTATTCTCACTGACGGGAATATTTAAACATGCTATAAAAACTAACATTAAATTGCTTTAGAGTCTATTTTGTTTCCCATTGCTCTACAAACATGTCTGTTTCAGTCCGGCGGATCTGTGTGTATCTGTGACGCTGGACACAGCTGTGTGAGATGGTAGTGTGTGCTGACGTCCACCTTCCGTGCTGCTCCGATACCACAGGTTGTTTCAGGTCAGGAGGAACAAACTCGCTGACTCAGTGTGCAATGATGTCACTACAAGGAACTCGATAATGAAATATCAGCGACATTATGTTTTGTGAATGAGACCCATCTTCACACTTCCCATAATTTGACAACTTGTGCAATGTTCCCATTCACGTGGCCTGTCACACGTGCTGCGCGACCTTTACCTCTGTATATACTTGACTTAGATAGGGTTATATGTCAGCACAGCTTGTCAACACAAGTTATCATAACATCGCGGCAGTCCTTGACGGTGTATATTCTGTAAAGACTGCACTATGTGTATGGAGAATCTTTAGGGCCAGATACACACCGAAATTATGCTCCTTTCTCTATTTATATCCGGGATTTGAAATGTTCAAATTTGCTTTGGCGGCATTTTTCCCAATAGGTTACATCAGACTGGGGTTAAGTGTTAAAACGAATAGATATTGGCCTCAGTAACTGTGTGCCAAATTTCAAACTTGTACAGCCATATGCACCAGTCTGGCCTATCTGGGACTAAAGCCTCCAGATACATTGTATACTTGAAATAGCAATGTTTCGGCAGTATATCAACATTGACCAACGAGGATGTGTCTCTTCTATATTGTTTTGATATATTTGCCTTGTTACCATTAAAAACATGAAATGATCACTTTGTTGTGAATAGGTGGTACCATACTCCCAGCTAACGCACAACGTTTTCGTAACGTCGTGGGAAGGTTGTAGATTGGTAACGTCATGACCCAACTTTGCCGCAACGTTAGTATTTCGTCATTTTATAACGTTATGTCACAACGTAACAACAACGTTGCAAATTTACATTAAGGAAACGTTATGCTTTGCTCCTCATATCGTTATAACAGCGTTTCTCATAACTTGGTGTCACGATAGAGTTTTCCGTAAAACTTTTCGCTTTGAGATTCTTTTTTCACTATTCAGCTAAAGCTTCAGAAAACACAGGTATCCTCCCAAAAACGCAGGCTTCCCAAAACGCAGACTCGTTAAAACAACGCTTGTTGTGGTTGGTTGCATCCTTGATTAGTAGGCTCTACCCTTGATTAAAACAAATGGTATCACCCATGTAACGAGTTTTGATTGACAAATCTCACTGCTCGGTCATCACTAGGTGGACGATTGTGTTCTGACGTGCCACGAACATAGTCTCTGACTGTTGTGCATTTGCCACTGCATGATCCGTCAAGACATACCGCCAGTACTAAGGGTGAAACGATACACCGATGTTCCGCTGTACATACCGCGATGCATGACCCACAATACGATACCGCATACAAGAACGTCCTTACATTGATAAGCCGTGATACGTTATAGTATTTAATTTGCATTTGTGTGACATTCTTACTTGTAACACTATCTGAACTTTTGTGATAGGCTGAAAGCATGATCGAAGTGTTTTGGTCGGTTGAACAGTTTATTCTCGAATTTGTAGGGGTGGGTATTGCAGAGAATTTTCATATTGCGATACGAAAGCATATATTGCGATGTGTATTGCAATATATTGCAAGAATTTTATTAAAACAAAAAAGTTAATACTTGACTTATAAGGCAAAAACACAACAAAATCACTATGCTTGACTAAGCTTTAATAAAAACATATCATCATGACAAAATAAATAATATTTGTCACAAATGAAACAAGGAAAAGAACAATTTAGCATCAAGACAGTGGTTCTCAACTCTCAAAAAAAAGACCTGAGATTTTAGACAGCAACTTGACCTGGTCAGGACATATCAGAGTAGACCAGGCCATTCATTAATTGGGGGTGACCAGTAACTTGACCTGGTCAGGACATATCAGAGTAGACCAGGCCATTCATTAATTAGGGGTGACCAGTAACTTGACCTGGTCAGGACATAACAGAGTAGACCAGGCCATTCATTAATTAGGGGTGACCAGTAACTTGACCTGGTCAGGACATATCAGAGTAGACCAGGCCATTCATTAATTAGGGGTGACCAGTAACTTGACCTGGTCAGGACATATCAGAGTAGACCAGGTCATTCATTAATTAGGGGTGACCAGCAACTTGACCTGGTCAGGACATATCAGAGTAGACCAGGTCATTCATTAATTAGGGGTGACCAGCATGGCCCAATTAATTAGTGTGCTACTTTTTTCTGCATTTTGGGAGGTCTGCGCTTTGGGAGGTCTGCGTTATGGGAGTAAACCAAAACACACGACCAAAACAACAGGCAAACTGACGAATAAACATTGAGGTGAGCTTCTGCTTTGTTTCATATGCACTGTTCACTACTGGGAAAACTATTCAACTATTGACGTTAAATAGAACGTCAAGACACCATAAAATACGTTAGCATCAAATAACGTTACCTTGTGGCGACATATAAATGACGTATCACAACGTCAGGCCACAATGTTTTGACAGCGTAAATGGAAGTCCACAGAAAAACGTTGTAACACCGAAAGCATAACGTTGTGACAACGTGAAATTGTTAGCTGGGCTGTCTCCTGTGTACCCACCTACCTACCTCCCAACGTACCACCTACGTAACTATGTACATGTCTATTGACTTACATACCTACCTACCCGCCAAACTAAGCTTTAATAAAAACATATCATCATGACAAAATAAATAATATTTGTCACAAATGAAACAAGGAAAAGAACAATTTAGCATCAAGACAGTGGTTCTCAACTCTCAAAAAAAAGACCTGAGATTTTAGACAGCAACTTGACCTGGTCAGGACATATCAGAGTAGACCAGGCCATTCATTAATTGGGGGTGACCAGTAACTTGACCTGGTCAGGACATATCAGAGTAGACCAGGCCATTCATTAATTAGGGGTGACCAGTAACTTGACCTGGTCAGGACATATCAGAGTAGACCAGGCCATTCATTAATTAGGGGTGACCAGTAACTTGACCTGGTCAGGACATATCAGAGTAGACCAGGTCATTCATTAATTAGGGGTGACCAGCAACTTGACCTGGTCAGGACATATCAGAGTAGACCAGGTCATTCATTAATTAGGGGTGACCAGCATGGCCCAATTAATTAGTGTGCTACTTTTTCTGCATTTTGGGAGGTCTGCGCTTTGGGAGGTCTGCGTTATGGGAGTAAACCAAAACACACGACCAAAACAACAGGCAAACTGACGAATAAACATTGAGGTGAGCTTCTGCTTTGTTTCATATGCACTGTTCACTACTGGGAAAACTATTCAACTATTGACGTTAAATAGAACGTCAAGACACCATAAAATACGTTAGCATCAAATAACGTTACCTTGTGGCGACATATAAATGACGTATCACAACGTCAGGCCACAATGTTTTGACAGCGTAAATGGAAGTCCACAGAAAAACGTTGTAACACCGAAAGCATAACGTTGTGACAACGTGAAATTGTTAGCTGGGCTGTCTCCTGTGTACCCACCTACCTACCTCCCAACGTACCACCTACGTAACTATGTACATGTCTATTGACTTACATACCTACCTACCCGCCAACGTACCCACCTACGTAACTATGTATATACCCCCAACGTACCAATATAATAATCAATTAGTTATGAGAAATTGTTTGTTATAAACAAGTAGAAACATTTCTTGACAAAAAACAGCGGACTCCCATTACACCCAGAAAACTTGTCCCTTCATTCTCCATCCTCCCGCATGCTCACTCATCAACACAGCCACACATCTTAGTGACATCACATACCAGGGTGACTGATACATCTGTGCACGGTGGGGTGAATCTGCCTCCCCTAACACGGTATGTAGTACAGTGCTACCCGGGAATACTGCCCCTTAACTGCCGGAAGTAAACCAGTCACGTGTAATACTCCAGATTCTGTCATTTCAATATCAAACTGCAGGTACAGAATTGCTGTTTAGGAATTGTGTCAGGTAGTCTGTCCCACGTCCTTCCTAAACTCCTTCACTGTGCCAGCTTCAGTCCACATACAGCACTGTATAACACAAGGCCATAGGGTAGCACAACATAAGACAAATGCTGTTACCATATATGCGACTGTACATCAGCAGCACTGCTGTCTTGAACAGTCTTGTACATCAGTAGCAGTACTAGGCGTCATGTTGTACAGAGTTGTACATCAGCAGCAGTACTAGGCGTCATGTTGTACAGAGTTGTACATCAGCAGCAGTACTAGGCGTCATGTTGTACAGTCTTGTACATCAGCAGCAGTACTAGGCGTCATGTTGTACAGAAGTGTACATCAGCAGCAGTACTAGGCGTCATGTTGTACAGAGTTGTACATCAGCAGCAGTACTAGGCGTCATGTTGTACAGAGTTGTACATCAGCAGCAGTACTAGGCGTCATGTTGTACAGAGTTGTACATCAGCAGCAGTACTAGGCGTCATGTTGTACAGAGTTGTACATCAGCAGCAGTACTAGGCGTCATGTTGTACAGTCTTGTACATCAGCAGCAGTACTAGGCGTCATGTTGTACAGAGTTGTACATCAGCAGCAGTACTAGGCGTCATGTTGTACAGAGTTGTACATCAGCAGTAGTACTAGGTGTCATGTTGTACAGAGTTGTACATCAGCAGCAGTACTAGGCGTCATGTTGTACATAGTTGTACATCACCAGCAGTACTAGGCGTCATGTTGTACAGAGTTGTACATCAGCAGCAGTACTAGGCGTCATGTTGTACAGAGTTGTACATCAGCAGCAGTACTAGGCGTCATGTTGTACAGAGTTGTACATCAGCAGCAGTACTAGGTGTCATGTTGTACAGTCTTGTACATCAGCAGCAGTACTAGGCGTCATGTTGTACAGAGTTGTACATCAGCAGTAGTACTAGGCGTCATGTTGTACAGTCTTGTACATCAGCAGCAGTACTAGGCGTCGTGTTGTACAGAGTTGTACATCAGCAGTACTAGGCGTCATGTTGTACAGTCTTGTACATCAGCAGCAGTACTAGGCGTCATGTTGTACAGTCTTGTACATCAGCAGCAGTACTAGGCGTCATGTTGTACAGTCTTGTACATCAGCAGCAGTACTAGGCGTCATGTTGTACAGTCTTGTACATCAGAAGCAGTACTAGGCGTCATGTTGTACAGAGTTGTACATCAGCAGCAGTACTAGGCGTCATGTTTTACAGTGTTGTACATCAACTTCAGTACTAGGCGTCATGTTGTACAGAGTTGTTCAGCAGCAGCAGTACTAGGCGTCATGTTGTACAGAGTTGTACATCAGCAGTAGTACTAGGCGTCATGTTGTATAGTGTTGTACATCAGCAGCAGTACTAGGCGTCATGTTGTACAGAGTTGTTCAGCAGCAGCAGTACTAGGCGTCATGTTGTACAGAGTTGTACATCAGCAGCAGTACTAGGCGTCATGTTGTACAGAGTTGTACATCAGCAGCAGTACATCAGCAGCAGTACTACAACGCCATGTTGTACAGTGTTGTACATCAGCAGCAGTACTAGGCGTCCTGTAGTACAGTGTTGTTCAGCAGCAGCAGTACTACAGTGTCAGGTTGTACAGTGTTGTACATCAACTTCAGTACTAGGCGTCATGTTGTTCAGTCTTGTACATCAGCAGCAGTACTATGCGTCATGTTGTACAGAGTCGTACATCAGCAGCAGTACTAGGCGTCATGTTGTACAGAGTTGTACATCAGCAGCAGTACTAGGCGTCATGTTGTACAGTCTTGTACATCAGCAGCAGTACTAGGCGTCCTGTAGTACAGTGTTGTACATCAGCAGCAGTACTACAGTGTCAGGTTGTACAGTGTTGTACATCAACTTCAGTACTAGGCGTCATGTAGTACAGAGTTGAACATCAGCAGCAGTACTAGGCGTCATGTAGTATAGTGTTGTACAACAGCAGTAGCACTAGGCGTCATGTTGTACAGAGTTGTACATCAGCAGCAGTACTAGGAGTCATGTTGTACAGTGTTGTACATCATCAGCAGCACTACAGCGTCATGTAGTACAGAGTTGTACATCAGCAGCAGTACTATAGCGTCATGTTGTACAGTGTTGTACATCAGCAGCAGTACTAGGGGTCATGTAGTACAGTGTTGTAAATCAGCAGCAGTACTACAGCGCCATGTTGTACAGTGTTGTACATCAGCTGTACTACTACAGCGCAATGTTGTACAGTGTTGTACATCAGCAGCACTACTACAGCGCCATGTTGTACAGCATCACTGCTGTTTTGTAGACAATGGAATATTGCTTAGACAATTGAATAGTGCTTAGACAATGGAATAGTGTTTAGGGACGATTCACGTTTTACTCTGAATTGCCGACGGTGGAGAGCAAGCGTGGCGTCGGAGGGTTGAACGTCACACCCAGTGCTGCGGCCATGAAATATTTCATTTACTCTTGTTGAGAAACAACAACTGAAAGGAAATGGATTCTTCTTGATAATTCATTGCTATAGTGACGTTAAATATACAAATGTGAGTCATGTCGCCGGCTATTGGTTTCGGTCATGCGTCAGTGTATCAAGGAAATATTTGGGTAATATATAACGTCAGTAGTGATTAGGATGAACCTGCATAGGACACAGCGGGGGAGAGCTTCACATTCAGGACATCAAGATGAACAGTGAAAATACCACAATTTCGATTGAACATTTGTTCGATGACATGGCGTCAGAGCAGAGTCCAGACACATCATTAGAGAGGGTTGATACATCTACTGAAATAATTCCTAGCGGTGACACGTCTACAAGTCTGACCTTACCACCGAATAGTCAGCAAATCGCCGAGGACATGTATATGTCACTGATATCCACCCCCGCGCGGACAGAGACCAGTCTGACGATTTATCCACCCCAAAACACATTGGCTCTTACCTCGAGCTATCTGAATCCTCAGAACTCGCACCCTAGTTCTTCTGTCACGTCATGTAAACATAAGCATGGCAAGGGAAGAAGGCAACATCGGCGGAGTTCTCACGATACTGAGAGTCACGTGGAGAACGTCAAACACAGATACAAGAAACTGGAAATATGTTTTGCTGTGCTGTGTTTCCTTAATGTGTTAATGTTTGTGTTCTATATACTCACAAATCCTAAATACGGACCCTTCTTTTCCGACAACACAGAAGACGATTTCTTTGAAACGGAAGGCGGCGAGCCTAAAACATTCAAGCTCTGCACCAGATGTCAGCCATTGGAGGCAAAGGCAGGCTTTGATCTTTTACATGACATCAAGTCTACCAAGTACCCAGACTTCTGCTGCTTCAGACGGGTGGACCAGTTGCTCCAGCTGATTGATGGGGTATGTGATGAAGTCATTAGATATATGTTGGAGGCAGGTATATCAGCTGATTGATGGGGAATGTGATGAAGTCATTAGATATATGTTGGAGGCAGGTATATCAGCTGATTGATGGGGTATGTGATGAAGTCATTAGATATATGTTGGAGGCAGGTATACCAGCTGATTGATGGGGTATGTGATGAAGTCATTAGATATATGTTGGAGGCAGGTATATCAGCTGATTGATGGGGTATGTGATGAAGTCATTAGATTACCCCCTTCAATATTTTTTAATTGGAGAGGGGAAGTGGGGTGGGGGTGTGAGGTGCGTGGGGGGTTGGGGTGTTGGACGCAGGTATATCAGCTGATTGATAGGGTACATGGTGGAGGTAATAGACATATGTAGGTGGCAGTTATATCAGCTTGCTGATGGGGTATGTGATGAAGTCATTAGATTACCCCCTTCAATTTTTAATTGGGAGAGGGTTGTGGGGTGGGGTGTGAGGTGTGTGGGGGGGTTGGGGTGTTGGACGCAGGTATATCAACTGATTGATAGGGTACATGGTGGAGGTAATAGACAAATGTAGGTGGCAGGTATACCAGCTGGTTGATGGGGCACATGGTGGAGAAAATAGACATATGTAGGTGGCAGTTATATCAGCTGATTTTTAGGGTACATGGTGGAGGGAAAAGACATATGTAGGTGGCAGTTATATCATCTGGTTGATGGGGCACATGGTGGAGGCAATAGACATGTGTAGGTGGCAGTTATATCAGCTGGTTGATGGGGCACATGGTTGAGGCAATAGACATGTGTAGGTGGCAGTTATATCAGCTGATTGCTAGGGTACATGGTGGAGGCAATAGACATATGTAGGTGGCAGTTATATCAGCTGATTGATGGGGTACATGGTGGAGGCAATAGACATGTGTAGGTGGCAGTTATATCAGCTGATTGATAGGGTACATGGTGGAGGCAATAGACATATGTAGGTTGCAGTTATATCAGCTGATTGATAGGGTACATGGTGGAGGCAATAGACATATGTAGGTGGCAGTTATATCAGCTGGTTGATGGGGCACATGGTGGAGAAAATAGACATATGTAGGTGGCAGTTATATCAGCTGGTTCATGGGGCACATGGTGGAGGCAATAGACATATGTATGAGGCAGTTATATCAGCTGATTTTTAGGGTACATGGTGGAGGGAAAAGACATATGTAGGTGGCAGTTATATCAGCTGGTTGATGGGGCACATGGTGGAGGCAATAGACATGTGTAGGTGGCAGCTATATCAGCTGGTTGATGGGGCACATGGTGGAGGCAATAGACATATGTAGGTTGCAGTTATATCAGCTGATTTTTAGGGTACATGGTGGAGGCAATAGACATATGTAGGTGGCAGTTATATCAGCTGGTTGATGGGGCACATGGTGGAGGCAATAGACATGTGTAGGTGGCAGTTATATCAGCTGATTGATGGGGTACATGTTGGAGGCAATAGACATATGTAGGTGGCAGTTATACCAGCTGATTGATAGAGTACATGGTGGAGGCAATAGACATATGTAGGAGGCAGTTATATCAGCTGATTGATAGGGTACATTGTGGAGGCAATAGACATGTGTAGGAGGCACTTATATCAGCTGGTTGATGGGTTACATGGTGGAGGCAATAGCTTTATGTGGGAGGCACTTATATCAGCTGATTGATGGGTACATGGTGGAGGCAATAGGCATATGTAGGTGGCAGTGATATCAGCTGATTGATGGGGTACATGGTGGAGTCAATAGACATATGTAGGTGGCAGTTATATCAGCTTGTTGATGGGGTACATGGTGGAGTCAATAGACATATGTTGGAGGGAGTTATATCAGCTGATTGATATGGTACATGGTGGAGCCAATAGACATATGTAGGAGGCAGTTATATCAGCTTGTTGATGGGGCACATGGTGGAGGCAATAGACATATGTAGGTGGCAGTTATATCGGCTGGTTGATGGGGCACATGGTGGAGGCAATAGACATATGTAGGTGGCAGTTATATCAGCTGGTTGATGTGGCACATGGTGGAGATAGTAGACATATGTTGGACGCAGGTATACCAGATGATTGATGGGGCACATGGTGGAGGTAATAGACATATGTAGGTGGCAGTTATATCAGCTGGTTGATGGGGTACATGGTGGAGATAGTAGACATATGTAGGTGGCAGTTTTACCAGCTGGTTGATGGGGTACATGGTGGAGATAGTAGACATATGTTGGACGGAAGTATACGAGCTGATTGATGGGGCACATAGTGGAGGCAATAGACATATGTTGGACGGAGGTATACCAGCTGATTGTTGGGGCACATAGTGGAGGCAATAGACATATGTTGGACGCAGGTATACCAGCTGATTGATGGGGCACATGGTGGAGGCAATAGACATATTTTGGACGCAGGTATACCAGCTGGTTGATGGGGCACATGGTGGAAGCAATAGACATATGTTGGACGCAGTTATACCAGCTGATTGATGGGGTACATGGTGGAGGCAATAGACATATGTTGGACGCAGGTATACCAGCTGATTGATGGGGCACATGGTGGAGATAGTAGACATATGTTGGACGCAGGTATGCCAGCTGATTGATGGGGCACATGGTGGATGCAATAGACATGTGTTGGACGCAGGTATACCAGCTGATTGATGGGGCACATGGTAGAAGCAATACACATATGTAGGTGGCAGTTATATCAGCTGGTTGATGGGGCAGATGGTGGAGGCAATAGACATATGTAGGTGGCAGTTATATCAGCTGATTGATTTGGTACATGGTGGAGATAGTAGACATATGTTGGACGCAGGTATACCAGCTGAATGATGTGGCGCATGGTGGAAGCAATAGACATATGTAGGAGGCAGTTATATCGGCTGGTTGATGGGGCACATGGTAGAAGCAATAGACATATGTAGGTGGCAGTTATATCAGCTGGTTGATGGGGCAGATGGTGGAGGCAATAGACATATGTAGGTGGCAGTTATATCAGCTGATTGATTTGGTACATGGTGGAGATAGTAGACATATGTTGGACGCAGGAATACCAGCTGATTGATTGGGCACATGGTGGAGGCAATAGACATGTGTTGAACGCAGGTATACCAGCTGAATGATGGGGCACACTGTGGATGCAATAGACATATGTTTGACGCAGGTATACCAGCTGATTGATGGGGTACATGGTGGAGGCAATAGACATATGTTGGACGCAGGTATACCAGCTGATTGATGGGGTACATGGTGGAGGCAATAGACATATGTTGGACGCAGGTATACCAGCTGATTGATGGGGCACATGGTGGAGGCAATAGACATATGTAGGAGACAGTTTTACCAGCTGGTTGATGTGGCACATGGTGGAGATAGTAGACATATGTTGGACGCTGGTATACCAGATGATTGATGGGGCACATGGTGGAGGCAATAGACATATGTAGGTGGCAGTTATATCAGCTGATTGATGGGGTACATGGTGGAGGTAATAGACATATGTAGGTGGCAGGTATACCAGCTGGTTGATGGGGTACATGGTGGAGATAATAGACATATGTAGGTGGCAGTTATATCAGCTGATTGATGGGGAGGCACATGGTGGAGGCAATAGACATATGTAGGAGGCAGCAATAGTATACCAGCTGGTTGATGGGGCACATGGTGGAGGCAATAGACATATGTTGGTGGCAGTTATATCAGCTGATTGATGGGGCACATGGTGGAGGCAATAGACATATGTAGGTGGCAGTTATATCAGCTGGTTGATGGGGCACATGGTGGAGGCAATAGACATATGTAGGTGGCAGTTATATCAGCTGATTGATGGGGCACATGGTGGAGGCAATAGACATATGTAGGTGGCAGTTATATCAGCTGATTGTTATATCAACTGATTGATAGGGTACATGGTGGAGGCAATAGACATATGTTGGACGCAGGTATACCAGATGATTGATGGGGCACATGGTGGAGGCAATAGACATATGTAGGTGGCAGTTATATCAGCTGGTTGATGGGGTACATGGTGGAGGCAATAGACATATGTAGGTGGCAGTTATACCAGCTGATTGATGGGGTACATGGTGGAGGCAGTAGACATATGTTGGACTGGTTGATATATACGAGCTGATTGATGGGGCACATAGTGGAGGCAATAGACATATGTTGGACGCAGGTATACCAGCTGATTGATGGGGCACATGGTGGAGGCAATAGACATATGTTGGACGCAGGTATACCAGCTGATTGATGGGGCACATGGTGGAGGCAATAGACATATGTTGGACGCAGGTATACCAGCTGGTTGATGGGGCACATGGTGGAGGCAATAGACATATGTTGGACGCAGTTATACCAGCTGATTGATGGGGTACATGGTGGAGGCAATAGACATATGTTGGACGCAGTTATATCAGCTGATTGATGGTACATGGCACATGGTGGAGCATGGTAGACATATGTAGGTGGCAGTTATATCAGCTGGTTGATGGGGTACATGGTGGAGGCAATAGACATATGTAGGTGGCAGTTTTACCAGTTGGTTGATGGGGTACATGGTGGAGATAGTAGACATATGTTGGACGGAAGTATACGAGCTGATTGATGGGGCACATAGTGGAGGCAATAGACATATGTTGGACGCAGGTATACCAGCTGATTGATGGGGTACATGGTGGAGGCAATAGACATATGTTGGACGCAGGTATACCAGCTGATTGATGGGGTACATGGTGGAGGCAATAGACATATGTTGGACGCAGGTATACCAGCTGATTGATGGGGCACATGGTGGAGATAGTAGACATATGTTGGACGCAGGTATACCAGCTGATTGATGGGGCACATGGTGGATGCAATAGACATGTGTTGGACGCAGGTATACCAGCTGATTGATGGGGCACATGGTAGAAGCAATAGACAATAGACATATACCAGGTGGCAGTTATATCAGCTGATAGACATATTGGGTACATGGTGGAGATAGTAGACATAGACATATGTTGGACGCAGGTATACCAGCTGAATGATGTGGCGCATGGTGGAAGCAATAGACATATGTAGGAGGCAGTTATATCGGCTGGTTGATGGGGCACATGGTAGAAGCAATAGACATATGTAGGTGGCAGTTATATCAGCTGGTTGATGGGGCAGATGGTGGAGGCAATAGACATATGTAGGTGGCAGTTATATCAGCTGATTGATTTGGTACATGGTGGAGATAGTAGACATATGTTGGACGCAGGAATACCAGCTGATTGATTGGGCACATGGTGGAGGCAATAGACATGTGTTGAACGCAGGTATACCAGCTGAATGATGGGGCACACTGTGGATGCAATAGACATATGTTTGACGCAGGTATACCAGCTGATTGATGGGGTACATGGTGGAGGCAATAGACATATGTTGGACGCAGGTATATCAGCTGATTGATTTGGTACATGGTGGAAGCAATAGACATATGTTGGACGCAGGTATACCAGCTGATTGATGGGGCACATGGTGGAGGCAATAGACATATGTTGGACGCAGGTATACCAGCTGATTGATGGGGTACATTGTGGAGGCAATAGACATATGTTGGACGCAGGTATACCAGCTGATTGATTTGGTACATGGTGGAGGCAATAGACATATGTTGGACGCAGGTATATCAGCTGATTGATTTGGTACATGGTGGAGGCAATAGACATATGTTGGACGCAGGTATACCAGCTGATTGATGGGGCACATGGTGGAGGCAATAAACATATTTTGGACGGAGGTATACCAGCTGATTGATGGGGTACATAGTGGAGGCAATAGACATATGTTGGACGCAGGTATATCAGCTGATTGATTTGGTACATGGTGGAGGCAATAGACATATGTTGGACGCAGGTATACCAGCTGATTGATGGGGCACATGGTGGAGGCAATAAACATATTTTGGACGGAGGTATACCAGCTGATTGATGGGGTACATGGTGGAGGCAATAGACATATGTTGGACGCAGGTATACCAGCTGGTTGATGAGGTACATGGAGGAGGCAATATACATATGTAGGAGACAGTTTTACCAGCTGGCTGATGGGGTATGTGATAAAGTCATTAGACATATTTTGGACTCAGCTGATCGATGGACAATACTGACCACATATTTCAACATGATTCAATAATGTTACTGTTGCATGTTTCAGTATGCCGAGATATATGTCGACCAAGAAGTAGGAAAAGGTGAGTTTCAACTCACATCACAATGTGGGACTCTACTTTCACTATTCTTAATAAAGGTAAAGTAATAGTGGAGCTAAACAATAATGTATGAGTATTATACATATAAGCCTCACTTTCCTTTGCCATAATATTATAAAAGTCCCCCTGGGCGTGTAGTGCATTACCAATTACTGAACTGAAATCAGTCACGTATATGATCAATATATATACAAGACCGTTAATAAGGTAGTATTTCCCCCACACAGTGCGCAGTGAGGTGAAATACAACATTACTACCGGGTTGAACACAGGAATCCCTGCCCCACGCCGCCAAGCAGCCATGGCCCACATGTACTACAAGGACAGCAGCGGAGGTAAGTCAGCAAGCATACTGACCATCACCGAGTATGTATATAGCCGCATCATGTGTGTAAATGCGCTACGATAACATGATACACAAACATGGAGCTTTAACATGGCTACTGCACGGTGTATTAGGGTCCTTGCTAAAGGTTTTGGATCTCATGAATCACACCCATGGTATCTTTGGAATGTCTGGTCTAGATGTTGTAGTGAGTGTCAATGTCTGTTGCAGAAAAGACTAAGGATGTGAGACCCCTTCGATGGGAGACACAGGGTGTGGACATCCTGCTGGTGGGAAGTATGAAGGTGTTGCGGCAGCAGCACCTGCAGGTGCTTCAGACCGGCTACTACTACATCTACAGCCACCTGCAGCTAAAGGGAGATGTCGAGGCCATCCACCAGGTGATGAAGAATTTTGAAACGGACACGAAGAAAAAGCTCCTGTACCAGAAGTCGAGAAAAACTGACCAGACGTCCGAGCTGCATGGACTGTTCCGCCTGGATAAAGGAGACCTGGTCACAGTGATAGCTACTAAGAATGCCATCGAGTCCGGTCAAAGGAAGAACTACTTCGGGGTTTTCTTAGTGGGCCAAATCATATGAACTTGCCAAACCAGTCAAAGAAACACAAATGTCAAGCACCTTCATAACTACAATTATAGTGTTTGGAGTTTTTACGCACACCGTACAATTGCCGGCAATAGCTGAGCAAAGATATCATACTTTAGTGTGTAGAGGAACGGTGTTGAGATAGCAGGACTTTTGGATATGGATGTAGATGTTTGTTGCTTGATTAATCCTGTCATGTTTTAGATGTTTTCTTGCTCAACTTCTTACAGGCATTGTGTTTTTAGTATGATTTATATATATTTGAACATGTCATTGCTTTGAATAACCAATAAAGTTATGCTAAACTGACATTGTATTTTATGCTGTCATATCATCATCCATCAGAAGTCTCTTGTGTTTGTGAATTGGAGACACATATCTGAATCTTGTATTATGTGCTGGCGATGATGAGAGAACTTGGATATCTGGTACGTAAAACTGATTTTAAGGAAAAGGGTTGCAATGTAACTCTTTCTGTATAATTTATTCTGATCATATTTTTCTAGTTGAGTATATCTCATACCTTTACTCCATTCGTGCAGCGTGGGGAGAAGGTGGTCACCACTCAGTCACGTCAATGACGGTGTCACGGACAGTAAAACTAGGGAATAAGTTCATATTGTAAGCATACATGTACGCATGTGTGTGTGTGTGTGTGTGAGAGAGAGAGAGTGTGTGTGTGTGTGTGTGTGTCTGTCTGTGTGTATGTGTGTGTCTCTGTGTGTGTCACTCTCTGTGTGTCTGTCTGTCTCTCTCTCTCTCTCTCTCTCTCTCTCTCTCTCTCTCTGTGTGTGTGTTCGTGTGTGTTCGTGCGTGCGCGAGCCTCCCTATTGTATTGTATGAACTACGTGATATGTATGGTGGGTTGTGAAGGGTTAGTTTAGCCCGTGTATGTCATGTTACTGAGTCATATCCTGTCCTAAGATTGTGTCAGGGAAGATGAAACTGAACCCAACACTCTGTCCCTATTTGTCATCAAGTAATGGGAGAGTATTTCATACAGTACATTGACGATTTCCATGTTAAACCTACTACGGATTAAGTGTTTTCCGTTAACACCGTTTTCATTGGCCATTTCAAAAGCCACAGAGAAGCGTTCACTATTGAAAACATGGGAACAGAAACATACACCAATAACTGACATCTCCCAAACATAAGGACCAAACTAAGATTTTGACAAGTTTCAGATTATATACATAACGGTGGAAACCAAGTTTCGTATTCCCTGTTAGAACTCCTTTCATAGGCATCACTTAAACCCGTTCCAATCATAGTCGTGAATGAATCTAATCCTGTGACAGACATAACATGAACCTGGTCCTCTCATAGACGTGACATGAACCTGGTCCTCTCATAGAGGTGACATGAACCTAGTCCTCTCATAGACGTGACATGAACCTGGTCCTCTCATAGACGTAACATGAACCTGGTCCTCTCATAGACGTAACATGAACCTAGTCCTCTCATAGACGTGACATGAACCTGGTCCTCTCATAGACGTAACATGAACCTGGTCCTCTCATAGACGTAACATGAACCTAGTCCTCTCAGAGACATAACATGAACCTGGTCGTCTGACAGACGTAACATGAACCTAGTCCTCTTAAAGACGTAACATGAACCTGGTCTTCTCACAGATGTCACATGAGACGTGTCACATGACGTATGACTGGTCCTCTTAAAGGTACAATGTCACACATTTTCGACGATATGTTGGCATTTATTATATATACATGTATTTGGGCATATGCACTCACTTTTATAAATAGCTTCCTATTGATGCAATAAAGGACTAATCACCCCTTACGACTTGCCTGAAGCGAACAGCTTCCAAACAGAGAACACTTGCCATATATGGAATGCAAACAATTTGCTCCATACATCGAAAACTGTCGCAGGCGGTGTTGTCGGTGACATGTTATTGCTGTAACCGCAAGGCTAACATACCAACCCACACTTGTCAGGGGATACACGAACTGTAAGGCCTTAACTATCAGCGGTCCGACTTCCGTTTTTGTGGAAGCCGTGATGGCTGAGTGGGTTAAATTGCTGTATGCTGGGGATTTGGCACCTCACACCTCACGTTTACCGAATGGGTAGGAATCCCAGATTGACCTTGCGCCGAAAAAGTACTATAAATTGTACCTAGCTAAAAAAACAACAATGTGATCCCAAATATAATGCGTAATATTATTGAATAAATATTCAGTCGAACAAAGTTGAATTTGCATAATGAGAAAATGCAGAAATAGTCATTACAAATATTCCCGATCATCCGGAAACAATCGCTTCACACGGGGAAAATGTCGTTTTAGATGGTATGTGGCAAAATATATGTCATGACAAGCTGCCAACATAGACACTGACGTTTTGTGTCCGGACAATGCATGACTCTAGTGACAGTAGAAAACATCATCCTAACTCTTATTTCTCTGTATGATGAACTGATTTATTGAAGATGTTTAACACAGTCTTCCATATCATATTTCATATATTCAACAGTCTTCCAAATGATACCCACTATTCTTTTTTAAAATTCTGCTATCACCAAAAGCATATTAAGTTAGTTGAAACATCTTTATATGCCTCTTCTTGGAATTCATAAACAAATCTAAGATGTCAGTCAAATATTTGAAATGAGTACTCCACCAAGCCCTGGAAAGTTGTCGTTCTGATTAAATATTGTGTGACGTTATGAAGTGAATCCAGAGGTAAAGATATTAGTCACTAGGCTGCACTGCTCGATGTCATGGAGGACAAGGCTACGTCATGTGGTATGGTTAGAACGTAATACTGAATTCAACACGATCAGCGACACATACCATTCCACACTGCATTTAACATGCACCTCCGAATCAATGCAACAATAGACAATATCTAGTGACCATCCAATAAGACAACATTTAGTAAACATTCAATATGAAAATATCTAGTGACTATCCAATGTGACAGTATCTAGTGACTATCCAATGTGACAATATATAGTGACCATCCAATGTGACAATATCTTGTAACTATCCAATGTGACAATATCTAGTAACTATCCAATATGACAATATCTAGCAACTATCCAAAGTAACAATATCTAGTAACTATCCAATATGACAATATCTAGTCAGCATCCAATATGAAACTATCTAGTGACCATCTAATGTGACAATATCCACTGACCATCCAATATCACAATATCTGGTGAATATGACAATATCAAGTGATTGTACAATATGACAATATATAGTGACTGTCCAATGTGACAACATGTAGTGACCATCCAATAAGACAATATTTAGTGACCATCCAATATGGCAATATCTAGTGACTATTCAATGTGACATTATCTAGTGACCATCCAATGTGACAATATCTAGTGATCTTCCAATATGACAATATATAGTGACCATCCAATATGACATGATCTCGTGACCATCCAATATGACATGATCTCGTTACCATCCAATGTGACGATATTTAGTGACCATCCAGTAAACGTCTCACACAACAGAATTCTCTCTTGTTTTCCAACTTTCCATGCAAACAATATCGTGTGACAAGTCCAGAGAACAGTAGGTCATGTGCACTATTTGGCCTCGAGACGGAAATTGAAAGTAGCGCGAGTCGCACGGAGTCATCAGCATTGAATGCATTCTTCCGTAACGACATAGAACGCACCAGCGTTATCCTCCGATACTCAAGGCGTAGATATGTACATAGTTCTGTAACAAGTATATGAGTAGTGAGTACCTAGAGTCATACCGGTTACAGTGAAGCGCTCTGTACATAGAAGTCTCACAGAACACACAGTAAGTGTTGGCGACCCACCATGTCAGAGATAGCCGAGGAAGAGGACAGTCACAGCGACTCCGACAGTAACACATATGAGTCGTTACTGCCGACCTCCTCCAGCCGTTCAGTGCTGTTACAACCATCAGACATCACCAGCACAGCACAAGCCTACCGACTGGCCCGTGGAGCCACCATTCCACAGGCGGACAGACAACACAGTCGTTCAAGACACAGTCGCGGTCACCACAGGAGGCGGTCCTCCAACAACATCTTTGAACTTAGACAATTTTACAAAAACGTCAAGAAGTGTTTCCTTTTTATGATTGTGTGCAATGTACTAGTTGTCATACTTCTGTTCGTAACACATCCCAAGTTTGGGTTTCTTGTTTGGAACACCGATGAAGACTTCCCGAAGGATGGACATCCTAATACGCTCCAACTCTGCGTGAAATGTGAGACTTTGTACGCTAAAGTAGGTCCCACACTTATCAGTCACATTCGGTCTCATGAAAACCCCGGGTTCTGCTGCTTCAGACACGTGTACCAACTGCTGAAACTAGTAGACAACGTGAGTATTACCCATCATAGAGGCGTTGTATCAGAGTGGATGCATATTCACATAGTGACAGGGCGTGGGCACTCACATCGTAACAAGGCATGGATTAATTCTACACCTACATCGTAACAAGGTGTGGACTAGTTATACACTCACATCATAACAAGGTGTGGACTAGTTATACACTTATAACGTAACAAGGTGTGGACTAGTTATACACTCACATCATAACAAGGTGTGGACTAGTTATACACTTATAACGTAACAAGGTGTGGACTAGTTATACACTCACGTCATAACAAGGTGTGGACTAGTTATACACTCACATCATAACAAGGTGTGTACTAGTTATACACTCACATCGTAACAAGGTGTGGACTAGTTATACACTCACATCGTAACAAGGTGTGTACTAGTTATACACTTACATGGTTACAAGGTGTGGACACTAGTTATACACTCACATCATAACAAGGTGTGGACTAGTTATACACTCACATCATAACAAGGTGTGTACTAGTTATACACTTACATGGTTACAAGGTGTGGACACTAGTTATACACTTACATCGTTACAAGGTGTGGACTACTTATACACTCACATCATAACAAGGTGTGGACACTAGTTATACACTCACATCATAACAAGGTGTGGACTACTTATACACCCACATCATCACAAGGTGTGGACTACTTATACACCCACATCATAACAAGGTGTGTACTAGTTATACACTCACATCATTACAGGGTGTGGACTACTTATACACCCACATCATTACAAGGTGTGGACTACTTATACACTCACATCATAACAAGGTGTGTACTAGTTATACACTCACATCATTACAAGGTGTGGACTACTTATACACCTACATCATTACAAGGTGTGGACACTAGTTATACACTCACATCATTACAAGGTGTGGACACTAGTTATACACTCACATCATAACAAGGTGTGGACTACTTATACACTCACATCGTTACAAGGTGTGGACTAGTTATACACTGACATGGTAACAGGGAGTGGACTAGTTATACACTCACATCGTAACAAGGTGTGTACTAGTTATTCACTCACATCATAACAAGGTGTGAACTAGTTATACACTTACATCGTTACAAGGTGTGGACACTAGTTATACACTCACATCATAACAAGGTGTGGACTAGTTAAACATTTACGTCATAACAAGGTGTGGACTAGTTATAAACTCACATCGTTACAAGGTGTGGACACTAGTTATACACTCACATCATAACAAGGTGTTGACTAGTTATACACTTACATCGTTGGATAATCCGCCGAAAAATGTTTTTATAATTTGTCTTCAACGTTAAGCCATCTTTACTTTCAGTACACCAAAGAGTTTATAAAGCAAGAAGAAAACAAATTGAGGGGTAGGTGAAGGAAGACATTTACTTCCGTGTGTGTGGAGGTGTGCATATGTACGGCAGATGACAGTGTGCTGTAAACTAGTGCGCAGGGTGTACATGTGATGTTTGAGTGCTGTAAGTACGGAGGATGTACAGGTGATGTTTGAGTCTAAGTACGATGGATGTAAGGTGATGTTTGAGTCCTGTAAGTACGGAGGATGTACAGGTGATGTTTGAGTTCTGTAAGTACGATGGATGTAAGGTGATGTTTGAGTCCTGTAAGTACGGAGGATGTGCAAGTGATGTTTGTGTCCTGTAAGTGCGGAGGACGTTTGAGTGCTGTCAGTACGGAGGATGTACAGGTGATGTTTGAGTGCTGTCAGTACGAAGGATGTACAGGTGATGTTTGAGTCCTGTTAGTGCGGAGGATGTGCAAGTGAGGTTTGTGTCCTGTAAGTGCGGAGGATGTACAGGTAATGTTTGTGTGCTGTTAGTACGGATGGTGTACAGGTTATGTTTGTGTGCTGTTAGTACGGAGGGTGTAAGGTTATGTTTGTGTGTTGTTAGTACGGAGGGTGTACAGGTGATGTTTGACTGTTGTCAGTACGGAGGGTGTACAGGTGATGTTTGTGTGTTGTTAGTACGGAGGATGTACAGGTTATGTTTGTGTGCTGTTAGTACGGAGGGTGTACAGGTGATGTTTGTGTGCTGTAAGTACGGAGGATGTACAGGTGATGGTTGAGTGCTGTCAGTACGGAGGATGTACAGGTGATGTTTGAGTGCTGTCAGTACGGAGAATGTACAGGTTATGTTTGTGTCCTGTAAGTGCGGAGGATGTACAGGTGATGTTTGAGTGCTGTCAGTACGGAGGATGTACAGGTGATGTTTGAGTGCTGTCAGTACGGAGGATGTACAGGTGATGTTTGAGTGCTGTCAGTACGGAGAATGTACAGGTGATGTTTGAGTGCTGTAAGTGCGGAAGATGTACAGGTGATGTTTGAGTGTTGTTAGTACGGAGGGTGTACAGGTGATGTTTGAGTGCTGTTAGTACGGAGGGTGTACAGGTGATGTTTTAGTGTTGTTAGTACGGAGGATGTACAGGTGTTGTTTGAGTGTTGTTAGTACGGAGGATGTACAGGTGATGTTTGAGTGCTGTAAGTGCGGAAGATGCACAGGTGATGTTTGAGTGCTGTTAGTACGGAGGGTGTACAAGTGATGTTTGATTGTTGTTAGTACGGAGGATGTACAGGTGATGTTTGATTGTTGCTAGTACGGAGGGTGTACAGGTTATGTTTGAGTGTTGTTAGTACGGAGGATGTACAGGTGTTGTTTGAGTGTTGTTAGTACGGAGGATGTACAGGTGATGTTTGAGTGCTGTAAGTGCGGAAGATGTACAGGTGTTGTTTGAGTGTTGTTAGTACGGAGGGTGTACAGGTGTTGTTTGAGTGCTGTAAGTACGGAGGATGTACAGGTGTTGTTTGAGTGTTGTTAGTACGGAGGGTGTACAGGTGATGTTTGAGTGCTGTCAGTACGGAGAATGTACAGGTGATGTTTGAGTGCTGTAAGTGCGGAAGATGTACAGGTGATGTTTGAGTGCTGTTAGTACGGAGGGTGTACAGGTGATGTTTGAGTGTTGTTAGTACGGAGGGTGTACAGGTGATGTTTGTGTGCTGTTAGTACGGAGGGTGTACAGGTGATGTTTGAGTGTTGTTAGTACGGAAGATGTACAGGTGATGTTTGAGTGCTGTTAGTACAGAGGATGTACAGGTGATGTTTGAGTGTTGTTAGTACGGAGGGTGTACAGGTGATGTTTGTGTTCTGTTAGTACGGAGGGTGTACAGGTGATGTTTGAGTGCTGTTAGTGCGAAGGGTGTACAGGTGATGTTTGAGTACTTCGAACGCAACTACTGAGAATGTGCAGATGCTGTTTGAGTGCTTCAGCTACTGAGAATGTGCAGATAATGTTTGAGTGATTCAACTATTGAGAATGTGCAGGTGATGTTTGTTTACTGTAATTACTGAGAATGTGCAGGTAATTGAGTGTCTTTTTGCATACGTCTGTACCCTGCGTCAGATAATGTTTCTCATGTTACTGGTAATATATATTTGAGCTTTACGTTTATGTCACCCATGATGTTTTAGTGAAATACCCCAGGAACATCCCCTCGTCGTGTGAGTCTCGGGAACCGGTGATTGCACACACATATTACAACGGTGGGTGTTCTTTTTACGATTCTAATATCTGAATAGTAAATGTGAATCGAATGAGTGAATGTTGGGTAATCTTTTTGAAAACCATGTAAAGTTACTATTAAGAGATCAAATTACTATTTTCAAGCTAACAATTTCAATCAATACTGGTTAACTAAGTGTATGAAAGCAGGAAGTTTGTAGTCCCTCTTTCAGAATGTTTGCCTATTTTCGTTTTCCATTGTATAAATACAATGTATGCTGTTATGTAAGCATAATGAAATATGTTTGTGTGTAATTGAAAGACTAATTCCCCGTTACAACATAGCCACGGATGGCCGTTATGGGTTGACAGAACTGACATTTGACTTCTTCCGCATGCGCAGTTGCTTTCCAATGGAAGAATGAGATTTCCTTAGAGCTAATACATAACTATTAGATCATATTTTGTTGTGTGACTGATAGAACAGAATAGGAGTCTACGGCTATTATGTGACAGAAATTAGGCATTCAGATGAGCTAAAAACATAATTAAAGAAAAGTATGTCCGACTTCCAGGGTCCTCCTCCAGTATTACCTTGACGTGGGAGCCCGAGGGAATTGATATTCTGATGCTGGGAATTCGGCTGGTCAGTTCCAGGAGTCTGGCAGTAAACACGCCCGGCTACTACTATGTTTACAGCCATGTCCATATCACATCCAACACCACATATAGGCATGACATCTTAAATAATGGAACTGCACTGGTGACGAACACGGGCACTCAAACAGCATACTCTATATTACAGGGTATATTTCACCTCCCAAATGGATCCAGCCTCTCCGTGTCTGTGACTCCGAATGTGACTTCCGGAACGAGGAGATTTGGATTATATAAACTGAAGCCATGATGTGTGTGCGGATCTGAGAATTTATTTCCACCAGTACTCAATACTTACGCTGCGTTATGCGTACCTCGGGAGCAGGACAATATTGCCACCTCGGGCAATTGCAACCCGGACAATTGCCGCAAAGGACAATTTCCACCCAGGACAATTCCCACCAAATTATAATAGTGGGGACAATTGCAAATGTGTATATGTTATGGATAACCATGCCAAACTCAATAAATGTTGGTAAAGAAACTGGATTATATTTTTGTTCTATTTTTGGGTGGCTATTGTACGATAAAAATATTATGGTTTCGCCACAAGGTGTGTTGCGGCCTTCAGAGAGCAACCAGGAACAGGTACAGGGCAGAGTAACGACAGAATGACATCAAATAAACTTCCCTACTCTTTAATTTTTACAAAAACAGGCCACAGCTTACAGGAGAAACACATAACACATGACACAGAACACACCATGTTGTACACAGAACACAGCATGTTGTACACAGAACACAGCATGATGTACACAGAACACAGCATGATGTACACAGAACACGCCATGTTGTACACAGAACACAACATGGGTACACAGAACACAACATGATGCACACAGACCACAACATGTTGTACACAGAACACACAATGTAGTGCACAGAACACAGCATGATGTACACAGAACACAGCAAGATGTACACAGAACACACCATGTTGTACACAGAACACAATCTGTTGTACACAGAACACACCATGATGCACACAGACAACAACATGTTGTACACAGAACACAGCATGATGTACACAGAACACAACATGTTGTACACAGAACACAACATGTTGTACACAGAACACAACATGTTGTACACAGAACACAGCATGTTGTACACAGAACACAGCATGATGTACACAGAACACAGCATGATGTACACAGAACACAGCATGATATACACAGAACACAGCATGATCTACACAGAACACAACTTGTTGTACACAGAACACAACCTCTTGTACACAGAACAGAGCCTGTTGTACACAGAACACAGCACGATGTACACAGAACACAGCATGATGTACACAGACCACAACATGTTGTAGACAGAACACAGCATGAGGTACACAGAACACACCATGAGGTACACAGAACACAACACATGGTACACTGAACACAACATGTTGTACACAGAACACAGCATGATCTACACAGAACACAGCATGATCTACACAGAACACAACTTGTTGTACACAGAACACAACCTCTTGTACACAGAACACAACATGGGGTACACATAAAACCATGAGGTACACAGAACACAACACATGGTACACAGAACACAACATGGGTACACAGAACAGACGATGAAGTACACATAACATCATGAGGTACACAGAACACAACATGGGTACACAGAACACAACATGGGTACACAGAACACACCATGGGGTACACAGAACACACCATGGGGTAGACAGAACCCAGGATGAGGTACACAGAACACAACATGGGGTACACAGAACAGACGATGAAGTACACATAACATCATGAGGTACACAGAACACAACATGGGTACACAGAACACAACATGGGTACACAGAACACACCATGGGGTAGACAGAACCCAGGATGAGGTACACAGAACACAACATGGGGTACACAGAACAGACGATGAAGTACACATAACATCATGAGGTACACAGAACACAACATGGGTACACAGAACACAACATGGGTACACAGAACACACCATGGGGTACACAGAACCCAGGATGAGGTACACAGAACACAACATGGGGTACACAGAACAGACGATGAAGTACACATAACATCATGAGGTACACAGAACACAACATGGGTACACAGAACACAACATGGGTACACAGAACACACCATGGGGTACACAGAACACAAAATAGAATACACAGAACGCAACATATGGTACACAGAACACACAATGGGGTACACAGAACACAACAGGAGGTACACAGAACACAACATGGGGTACGCAGAACACACCACGGGGTACACAGAACACAACAGGAGGTGCAGAGAACACAACATGGGGTACACATACCACACCATGGGGTACGCAGAACACAACATATGATCTACAGAACACAATATGGGTACACAGAACACAAAATGGGGAACACAGAACACACCATGAGGTACACAGAACACACCATGGGGTACACAGAACACAACATGAGGTACACAGAACATACCATGGGTACACAGAACACACCATGCGGTACACAGAACATACCATGGGTACACAGAATACACCATGAGGTACACAGAACATACCATGGGTACACAGAACACACCATGGCTACACAGAACACACCACGGGTACACAGAACACACCATGAGGTACACAGAACACACCATGAGGTACACAGAACACAACATGAGGTACACAGAACACAACATGGGGTACACAGAACACACCAAGGGTACACAGAACACAACATGGGGTATACAGAACACACCATGAGGTACACAGAACACATCATGAGGTACACAGAACACGCCATGAGGTACACAGAACACAACAGGTGGCACAGAACACAACATGGGGTACACATAACTCAACATGGGTAAACAGAACGCGACATATGATACACAGATCACAACAGGAGGTACAGAACATACCATGAGGTACAAAGAACACAACATAGAGTACACAGAACACACCATGGGTACACAGAACACAACATGGGGTAGACAAAACACAACAGCATTTACACAAACACAACATGGGTACAAAAAAACAAAGAGGTACACAGAACACAACATGGGGTACACAGAACACAACATGAGGTACACAAAGCACAACATGAGGTATACAGAACACAGCATGAGGTACACAGAACACAACATGGGATACACAAAACACACCATGGCTACACAGAACACACCATGGCTACACAGAACACACCATGCGGTACACAGAACACACCATGAGGTACACAGAACAGAACAGGTGGCACAGAACAGAACATGAGGTACACAAAACACACCATGAGGTACACAGAACACACCATGAGGTACACAGAACACACCATGAGGTACACAGAACACACCATGAGGTACACAGAACACAACAGAAGGTACACAGAAGAGAACATGGGGTACACAGAACACACCATGAGGTACACAGAACAGAACATGAGGTACACAGAACACACCATGAGGTACACAGAACACAACATGAGGTACACAGAACACACCATGCTTTACACAGAACATACCATGGATACACAAAACACACCATGGCTACACAGAACACAACATGGGTACACAGAACACACCATTAGGTACACAGAACACACCATGAGGTACACAGAACACAACATGAGGTACACAGAACACAACATGGGGTACACAGAACACACCAAGGGTACACAGAACACAACATTGGGTACACAGAACACACCATGAGGTACACAGAACACATCATGAGGTACACAGAACACACCATGGGGTACACAGAACCCAAGATGGGTACACAGAACACAACATGGGTACACAGAACCCAGGATGAGGTACACAGAACACCACATGGGGTACACAGAACAGACCATGAAGTACACATAACATCATGAGGTACACAGAACACAACGTGGGTACACAGAACACAACATGGGTACACAGAACACACCATGGGGTACACAGAACACAAAATAGAATACACAGAACGCAACATATGGTACACAGAACAAACCATGGGGTACACAGAACACAACAGGAGGTACACAGAACACAACATGGGGTACGCAGAACACACCACGGGGTACACAGAACACAACAGGAGGTACAGAGAACACAACATGGGGTACACATAACACACCATGGGGTACACAGAACACAACATATGATACACAGAACACAAAATTGGGAACACAGAACACACCATGTGGTACACAGAACACACCATGTGGTACACAGAACACAACAGGGGGTACACAGAACACACCATGGGGTACACAGAACACACCATGAGGTACACAGAACATAGCAGGAGGTACACAAAACACAACATATGATACACAGAACACACCATGAGGTACACAGAACGCAACATATTGTACATAGAACACAACAGGAGGTACACTGAACACAACCTGGGTACACAAAACACTACATGGGTACACAAAACACAAGAGCAGGTACACAGAACACACCATGGGGTACACAGAACGCAACATATTGTACACAGAACACACCATGGGGTACACAGAACACAACAGGAGGTACACAGAACACACCGTGGGGTACACAGAACGCAACATGGGGTACACAGAACACACCATGGGGTACACAGAACGCAACATGGGGTACACAGAACACAACATATGGTACACAGAACACAGCAGGAGGTACACAGAACACACCAGGGGGTACACAGAACGCAACATATGGTACACAGAACACACCATGGGGTACACAGAACGCAACAGGAGGTACACAGAACACGCCATGGGGTACACAGAACACAACAGGAGGTACACAGAACGCAACATGGGGTACACAGAACACACCATGGGGAACACAGAACACAAAATAGAATACACAGAACGCAACACATGGTACACAGAACACACCATGGGATACACAGAACGCAACATATGGTTCACAGAACACAACATGGGGTACACAGAACACAAAATAGAATACACAGAACGCAACACATGGTACAGAGAACACACCATGGGGAACACAGAACACAAAATAGAATACACAGAGCGCAACACATGGTACACAGAACACACCATGGGGTACACAGAACGCAACATATGATACATAGAACACACCATGGGGTACACAGAACGCAACATATGGTACACAGAACACAACATGGGGTACACAGAACACACCATGGGGTACACAGAACACAACAGGAGGTACACAGAACACAAGATGGGTACACAGAACACATCATTGGGTACACAGAACACTTCAGGAGGTACACAGAGCGCGCTATGAGGTACACAGAACACACCACGAGGTACATATATTACACCATTGAGGGTGGAGGTGGGAGAGATGTAACAGAACAGGTGTTTTGTCGTCAGCAGTGGGGGCGGTGGCCTAGTACGGTGTGCGTGAGGCCAGACATACTGTTAGAGTATTCTTGCTACTCTCTGCAGTGGTTTTATAATGTGTAGAGTCAGGTTAACCTCCTGCACTACCTCTGGTAGAGCGTCACATCCTTTTCAGGAAACAGGTCAGGAATGACAGCTATGTTAGTGAGATGTATGTTAT